CTCGTTAGGAGTGTGGATCCATCCATTCCTAGTCATTTTTCCATTCCACTTGGATTTCACGGTTGCACAACACGGCTTTATCCTCTTAGGGCAAGAGTTGGCATCTTAATGATTGTGAAGTTCTTTACCCTCAACTCTTTATGCATGGCTTGCTTCCATTACTTCCGATTAACACACATAGGTTAATTTCCCTTTTTATTCTTATTTATTCTTTTACAAGGAGGGATATGTTCTAAATGAATATAATGCAGAATGTAGAGAAAGTTGAGAATAATAAATATCAGTCTTATTGATTTGTTTATTTGTGAATGCTCAAATAAATTTTGACAGTATTAAGCGATAATCTATATTAGATTCTAAGAAGACTTACTTCAACAAACATATCAAAGCAAGAGCCCAACCATAGTATTTTTTTTTTAAATTTGATTTGGGCTTTTCTTTAGAGCGCAGATATTGTCATATATTAGAGCATTCACTTTTCTTAACTTTCTATACGTATTGCAACCTAATCCTCCTTAGCTAATAAAATAAAAATGAATGAAATTAATGAGCTAATCTAGAATGCATGTCATTTTTTTTTGCCTAACCTTTATCATGTTTCTATTGTCTAAAGGGAAATGATGCATGAAGATGAGATTTCTTTTATTCATTTTTTTTTTTAAAAAAGAAACTACTTATATGATGTTAATGGAATGATGACCTAAGAATGAACAAAAGGGTATATAGTTTTTATCATTATTATTTTTATTTCTTTATTATCTATTTGCTTATTTTAAAATTCCAATCCATCTTATTAGAACAAAATAATACAAACAAATGCACATACACATGCTCAATCAACGTATACCCACGAACGATCATGTTCAAATTCTTGGTCTGTGGTCCCTGTCGAGAAAAGTGCATTGTATTGGATGGTTCTAACCTCACTGGTCTTTAAGGCCCCCAAGGTGCCCCCATTATAGGGACCCAGTATCTCTGTCGCCGTCACCTGGCAAACTCTAAGGTCTGTGTCGCAGTATTTTGGGCTAGAGTAACCGGTTATCACCTTGAGTGTGATTTTCGACAAGGCTCGCAAGCTCCAAGGCCAAACTTGGGCCGGTCGTACATCAACCACTCCCTTTGTTTATTACCCTGATGCCCCCGGGTGTAGGGGGAACTGTTGTGTGCAAAGGATTGTGTACAATTTTTATTCCAAACAAATGTTGAATTTAAACAGGCAAACAAATACTAAATCCAAACAAATAAAGCAAACAAAGTAAAGGGGAAAAATATTTAAATTATTACTTTTATTTTTTTAACTTCATCAATTAAATGGGTCTGACCCTCTTTAAACTTCCCCAACAGAGTCGTCATCTGCCTAGTGGAGTCGCCATCTGTCGCAACCCGAAAATTTCAGATCTCGCGACATATGGTTTAGACATCCTTTTAAAAGTTTCTTCAATTAAGGAATGCCCGGACACTAGACTAATCCTTAATTAATGGTTTTGAAAAATGAGTTCATGGAGTCGCCACCAATATTTTACTCAAAACATTGGAAAAAGAAAAGGTTTTTAAAAAAGTTCAATAATGGCCTTAATAACCAGAATTGGGTTCAAGGGTCGGTTACATGTAGGGAAGGTATTAAGCACCCCTACAACGCCCTTAATCGGTACCTTATAATGAAGTTAACATTATAAACAATAATAATATAAATATTAAATCCCCTTTTATTAATGATTATTTACATTCTTCAAATTTAAATTAAACAATTAACTCTAAAATATCTACATGATTGTTTTTATTATAACAATACTTATCAAAAATAAGAAATAAAAGAGAGAGAAGAAGATTAATTGAAATACCTCGTAGCAAACTTTGTTAAATCTTCCGATATGGAAATTCTAGGTGCTTTGTGGCAACCTTTCACACTACACAAATGCCTCACAGATCTCAAGAAATACAATATAAGAGAGAGAGAGAGAGAGAAATTTCGAGCTCTAAGGAGTTTTGGACGAAATTTTCGGTGTCCGGAGAACTGTGCCCAAGCTGTCTATTTATAGGCATCAGAAAGGGTCCAGAACAGCCCGTTCCAAAATTGGAACGATCCGTTCTAGATCTGGTCGTTATGTGTTAATTTCATAACTAGAACGGCCCGTTCTGAAACTGGAACGGCCCATTCCATAGATAAGATTAACACACAATTTGGTAGACTAGAACGGGCGTTCCAAACAAGAGTTTTAGGCTATTTTAATATCTCGGAATGGCCCGTTCCAGTTTGGAACGACCCGTTCCGGTTAAGGTTTTTAACCCTTTTTTAGGAGCTTGGAACGGCCCGTTCCAGCCTATTATTTTTACGGAATGGCCCGTTCCGGACTTGGAAACGGCCCGTTCTGATTTTGGAATGGCCCGTTCCGGGTCACTAAAAATAGTTGATTTGGGCTTTTGGACCCTCTGATGTCCTCCTATCTTGTTGTTTGTATCCCCGAACAAAATTAAGTGTCTACAGTCAATCCTAAAGTGTCAAGTGTCACCTTGTCTCTTAAGAAGACAAGAAGGAGACACCTAGATCTATAAGAGTCAATCAAAAGGTGTTAAGTGTCACCTTATCTCCTTAACTAACAAGAACCAAGTTTGTCAGAGGAGCTTTGCAATTTCGGCTAAAAAAAAGCTATAGATGTAGCAACAACTTCTCCTCATAATTGTTGATAACATTTTTGTAATTTAGTCACGTTTTTTCATAAAGTATAACAATATTTTAAGGTAATTGCCAAAGTACTCAAATAAGTATAACTTTCTGTTCAAGATAAGTGTTAATTTTTTCAAGCAAATTTCTCGAGATTTTAATATGCCTAAATGTATTCTTAAGTTTTTTTTTTTGTTTTTGCTTTATTGAACCATTACTTTTACACATAATAAATTCTTACTAAGCATTGGTGACATACTTAGTCAAAATGTATTCTCCATTTTATCTCCAAAATGTTTCATTAAAAGAACACAATAGCCTGTGTGTTAAGTTTTTGTATATGATCCCAAAATACTTTTTATTTTATTTTTATTTTTGAGATCACATATGAAAATGCATAAGTTCTCCGATATAATTTTTTGAAGACAACTTTTATAAAAGTAATTTAACTTTATTTCCTCTTTGATTATCGAAACAACTTATATATGTGCTTATAAAATATGCATTTATTCAATAATTACAATAGGAGTTTTTAATGATAACTAGGGATGAGAATTGGTTAGGACAAACAAGATTTTAAATATATAGGTTAAGCCTGTTTTACAAAATCAAAGTCTAAGTCTGACCTATTATTTATTGTATGTTTTTTTTATAGGTCTGACTTGGTCTTTTTAAAGCATGTCTTGACTTATTAGCCTATATTTAAATTATTAATGTTAATTACCAATAAACTTAATTTTTAAAAATCAAAAAAGTTATTCTTAAAATATAATTTATTCAATATTATTAAAATTTAAATTTTAAAAAATATAGGAAAAAAATTAAATCATTTTCTATTGAAGGAACAATTCGTGTGTAATCATGTATGTTAATTAATGTATACTGATCATGCATAAGTCGTAATAAACTTATAATAAAAAAAAATTGTATAAAAAAAATTTTAATACTAAGAATTTATTTTTATTTTATAAAATTAATTTCTTGTTTATATATTTTTAATTATATATATATATATATATATATTATTTTGTTATTATATTATATAAATAAATAGGTTGATTTATTAGGTTTAACATACTTTTTTATAAGCCTAAGATTTTTATATAAATAAATTTTTTTTTAAATCTAAACTTATTCTTTTTATTAAACAGATCAGGTCAAATGAGACTTTAAAAAGGACAAGTCATAGACCTCCTGCTTAAGACCAGACTATTTCCATTTCTAATAATAACCTAGAGACTCATGTTAAATAAATATAATTTTTTTTGAAGTGTTACTTGAAAGGTATGAAATCAACTCTTTGCGAATTAGGCAATAACTGAATTAATGAAGAGAAATCTTGAAATCGTTTTGTAAGGAAAAAAAATAAGTAGAAAATAAATACATGTACAAATTTAAATATAGGGTTTAACCATCACTACAACACAAACAAGTTTTAGCAATATTTAAAAAATGTTACTTAATTATATACAAATGTTACTAATTTACTTTAGCAACATATTATCAAATGTTGTATATAGTACATGTTGCTAAAAACTTTTAATAACATTTTTATATAATTAGGCAACATTTTTCAAATGTTAGCAAAGTATATTTTTGTACATTTTAATGATGTTGCCAATATTTTGTTAATTTTATAAAATGATAATTAATTTTAATTTAGATATATTACTATCAAGTATTATATTTCTATGCTTCTTAAATTCTTAAGAGTCCTTTGAGAGAAGATTAAAGACATTCTTAATCAATTACTACTTATTATATATAAAATATCAAATTTCATTTATCTTAAGTATAACTATATGGTTATATATACTCTTGATGAATCCTTAATCTATTCGATGTGAGACTTTAATTATGGGTACCAATTAGATATAAGAGAAATTTACTTTTTTTTACTCGACGTGGGACTTTGATTTTAGAAACAATTATAATAACATTTTTTAAAAAAAATGTTGTAAAATAACCTATGTGAAAATCTTTTACTCGATATAGAACTTTGATTTTGAAAACAATTAGAGAAAATAATATTGAAATAAAAAATATTTCTCTATCTATAATAATATTTTTTTTAAAAATGTTGCAAAATAACCTATTTATTTAATATATAATAACATTTTAACAAATGTAAATAAGAAAATGTTGCTAAAGAATTAAAATTTAGTAGTAGATGATCTTACCGAACAATAGTTTTTAAGTTTAGATCCTTGATATAATTCAGGACAAGCCAGTATACTATTTTCACATTGCCTACTTATTCATTCATAAAACTCCAATGCAAGACCTTAAAAGGAACTAGCTAGGCTTTTGTCACTTGGACCAACAGACTTTGGTCTTGTCAAATAATTTTTAACTCAAGGTTGGTATACGTAGCTTGAGCTTTGTGTCGATTGAAAAGACCTTGAAGTTCTTCAACAAATTGGTTGTGTACTTTAGCAACCTGAAACCAATTAACTAAACATAATTGAAGATAAAAAAGTTCAATTGCAACCCACATTTGTCAATATCCCATGCTGAATTAGTAATATTAGCCTAAGAATATCTAAATAAGTGTCATTTTTAGTTTTTTAATGTAATAATTACATGTTTTTCATTTATACGTCAAATAATATCTTTTAAAAAAGTTGTAGTTATATTGTACTGTTTCTAATAAAAATAATTAATAATAGATTAATTTTGAAAAATTATTATTTTCTTTCATTTATTTATTAACTTTTCTAAATTTGTTGGTACAACTTAAGGCAATATTTATTATGGTTAAGACAACACTTAGCATGAGATGAAAGTGAATACTAAGGTGATTACAATACACTTTAATTTTTTTTTCTAACACAAATAGATAATATAACCTATATATATATATATTATTAATGAGATCCACATGAATTTTACTCAAAAGAAAAATGTTACTAATATTTTATTTTTGGAGGAGGGGGTGTTTAAAATAACAATTCCGCTGGATCATGTGACATGTGTGTGGCTTATTTTGAATGTTATTTAGTATAAAATATTGTTGGAGAGTATATACATACATACCTGCTCCATTGTCGGTTCTGGAATTTTCTCAACCTCTATGAACACCCAGAAAGGATCCGAGAAAAGGAGAAAAGAAACAAATAAAAAGGAAATACCTGGTACTCCTCCTCAGAAAATAACCCTAACAAGAAAGGGGTTACCGGAAACGACATCGGAAGAACAAAGGAGAAGGGAGACGAAAGGAAGCAAGAAAGCAAGAAACACTCGCGTACTCGAGAAGTCAGAAGGAAGGCAAAGAGTAAAGACAATGAGGCGCAAGTAAAAGAAAAGAAAAAGCTTTCCCCCAAAATTCAAAACCGACGCGACACGTGTCGGCCCAGGAGCACGCTTGACGACACATTTATTGCAAAATCATCATTACATAACCGCCACTTCTCTTAACGCGTCACTCGAACGTCTTCGGGAAACGAACAGTTGTGACACATGGCAGACCTTCAGATAGCGTACGCGAAAAGCCACTCCCCTCCAGCGAGCCTGGTCTTAACTCCTCGACCTACGGCCTTTGGAGCTCGGGGGGCTAGTGTACTATCCGTACTTCGCACCCGGGCTCCGAGCCCGGATTAGCAATACAAGAGGGCGGCCTCGGGCACGTGTTGCGCGACGTCAGCCCGGTATTTGGGCGAATCACACCTGATTCCGAGGATCTCGCCCCAGGCCAGATCCACCCTTCAACTATATCATATTATATCACGTTACATTATATCATGATATATCTTATCTCAAGCCCAAAGCCCAAGGCAAACCTAGATCACCTCAAGGTACGTGCATTATATATATGAGACCATTATTCAGGCAAA